CTTAACTTTTTTCCAGGTGTATATATATATGTACATATATCTTTAAGGGTATGCGTGTGTGTATGTATATATGTTTGTGATATGATATCTTACCTTCTCTTATAAAATAGCTTTTCTTGATTAGTACAGACACAAATTTTTAACACTCACCACTAGCCTTTCACTTCCCACTTCTGCATATCACCATGCCAACAACCAGCAGCAGCTCTCTACCAATAGGAGTGTGACACAACTCCTATCGTAACCAGCTTTTTCTTCACATTTGCACTTATTTATCACTCCTCGATTGGCAGTAATACTATACAGATGTGTCGGTTTTTGTTCATGGATTTGTCAACGTTTTCCTTTATACAACAGACTAAGTCTTTCTTTACTATTTATTTAAATTTTTGCATTTTGGAATTGTGAAAGGTTGCTTTTTGCAACTTTTCTTACTTTTTCAGGGGCCTTTTTAGCTAATTTATTGTGGATCCTCCAGACTCCACAGCATGTTTTTTCCTCCTTTCTTCTAGTGGAGTATGGGATTCCTTACCACCAGTTCCTAGCCACTGGGGTGGTGGACCATGGAAGCTTGCCCTCCTGAGTGATGAATCATACCACTCAGTTGAAAGTAGGACAGTGGCTCTCTGTAGGTGTCAATGGTGTGCAGAACTTTTTACCACAGACCTGATGCTCAGTTTCAGAAGCTGCCAGGTTTTGGTTTAGTTTAATATAGTCTACACTATATTACTGTCTGTATATCTGACCGACTGATGTTTTTGTACTGTGGCATTCCTTCTTCCTACTATTCTCCAGAGGTACATGCCCGGTGGGTCAAATGTTGTTTGCAGATGGCCCGGTCACAATTAAAATCATCTGTCAATACTGTGATGCCATTCCTACTGTGGACCTGAAGTACAATTCCAGATGCTGCCAGGTTTTGGTTGAAGCACTCTGTATGCCTGTAATTGCAATTTGTCTCTCAGGCTGAAATGTTCCTCCTTACCTATCATCCTCTGAAGTTACATTCCCAGTGGGTCTGGTGCTGGTTGGCGATGGTCCAGCAAAGTAAGTCCTTGCATGTGCTAGCTGGTATCCTTCCTACTGTGGACTGGATGTCACATCCCACTGCTGCTAGGTTTTTGACTGGAGATGTACCACATGTTTGCGGTCCCTCTTCCTACAATCTGCAGGATGTTGGTTATCAGCAGATCTAGTGTTGCTTGTAGCTGGATGCATTACATTTTCCTGCTAGAGCATAGTCAGGTATCCTCCTCCTACCACAGAATGGATGTACCATACCCATTGCCATCAGGTTTTGGACTGGAGATGTCATCCTTTATGTTTTTCTGCTTTTTATGTTTGAGACACAGTCATAAAAGAACAAAGAGTATACATGGATCAGGTGTGGTGCAGTCTCCATCTGAGGTGTGATATTTTCTCTCATGGCTCCACACTTCTGGTCTCTGTTTGGGCACTTCAAAACTATTTTGTGAGCGGAGGTAAGATATTGTATCAGAAGTTAGAATTTTCCTACACTGAAAATGTATTTCCAATAGATAGTTATCTCTTCTAACATTACCCACCCTGCCTCCCCAAATCTGGTGATATATGGTGTAGGTCTTCTGACCAATCTAGAAGTGATTAATGAGTGCAAGTGTGAAGAGGGCACTGGTTATGATAGTGATTGTGTTGTGTTCATGTTGGTGGAGGGCTGCTGCATGGTCATTTGCATGTGGATATGTAGAAGTGGGAGGTGGAAGACTAGTAGCGAGGATTAAAAATTTGTGCCAATAGAGGGCAGTACTAATTGAGAAAGCTGTTTTGTGAGGGGAGGTAAGTATCTATCAGAAATACATTTTCAGAATAGGAAAATGCTAACATATGTGTGGTTGAATTATATTTAAGTTATTTAATTTGATTTTTATTATATTGCCATATTATTTCTTTCATAAAAACAGAATAAAAATTCTTTATCAATAGGTTTTGCAAAAAAAGATAATTTTGAAGAAAAACGAAAAAAATCATATTATGAGTGAAAGAAATGTCTTGTTGAAAAATCTGGAACACCCATTCCTTGTGGGGCTTAACTACTCCTTTCAAACAACAGACAAACTTTATTTTGTTTTGGACTATATTAATGGAGGTGAGGTAAGGTATGGGCTTACTTTATCAGTCCTATGCTAAATTAGTGAGAGTTCTTTAGTTGAAAACAAACTTAAACTTCATTGCTAAGGGCTATTTACAATTTTATTTGTGTTTATATGTGTATAAAAAACAGTTCATAAATAATTCTTTTCTGTTGCTGTGAAATCGAAGCATGAATTGAAAATGAACCACTTTTTTCTGGTGTTTTGTTTAAGAACCAAGTGCTTTCTAGATAATAATAATAAATGTCTATCATAATTCATTTACAGCATTAGTGTCATTTTAGATGTGAGTATTTAATAAAACTCATACAATTCATTCAAGCTTTGTTTTTTCATACAAACTTTTAAGCACCTTCACAATTTTTCTTTAGCCTGTTTTTACAAGTATGTACCAGTATCTTTTTTGTTAGAAAATAATGTAAATAGCATTCCATGATAACATAATTCTAACCCTAATTATCTATTTAGTTGTTTGTCTATCTATCTATCTATCTATAAGCTCTTTTATTGTCATCATAAAAATATTGTTTTTGTTCATTAATGTACATAACCTTATAAAGATAACCAAAGTTAACCAACTTTTAGTAACCTATTTAATTAGACAGCAATGAACTAGCTTACAAGCATTAACTTCTTAGACTCTAGTTTAGAAAGGCTATGGTGACAGTTTTTTTTTAAGCAAGGACCTTAAACTCTCCAAAAAGTAATTAGATACCCTAGTATTTTACTTTGAGATCATTGCAATTTCTTGATCATTATAATTGTCTTTTGTTGGTTAAAATAATGCCACAAAAGCTATGAAGATTGTGTATTGTAAATATATTTGTTTTTAAATGATGTAATTATAAAAGAACAAAGTGATATGGTAGTCCATTATTCTTTAATCCATTTACATCTAAAAGTGTTATACTATTAACTAATAAAAATTTGTTTGATACATTTAAATAAAAATTCTGATAACTGAAAAAATGGACAGATAAAGTCTGCTGTTTTGTTAAATGTTAAATTGTGTGTTTCAGAAACAGGGGTACAGTAACTGTAAGATTATCTTGATTGTAATAGTTTTATAATGTGCATTACAATCATGATTTCAGCAGATATTCCAGTTGTTGAACTAGTGTAAATTCAAAATGCATTCAGAGTAGCTTGTACATAAATAAAAGTATTTTAAACTTTTGTAGGTGTTTTTCCATCTTCAAAGAGAACGGTATTTTCCTGAACCCAGGGCTCGCTTTTATGCTGCAGAAATAGTAAGTGCCTTAGGCTACTTACATTCAAATGGAATTGTGTATAGGTAAGGGCTCAGAAGTTAAAATGTTCATCTTGTATAATCTTATCATTAAAAATAAAACTAATATTACTGTATAAAGTGCAACTTTTTGTTCTAAAGTAATGAGTAAAACTTTTGTTGTACAATGTATATGAAAATTATGATTTCAGCAGATATTCTTTCAAAATACTTACCAGTAGTTGCTTTCAATGATTATTGCACTATAAGTACAATGAATTTGTTTTTCTCTTAAAGAAATCTTAGTTATTTTGTACTTATGAAAAGGTTAAATGTATATAATTCAAACTGCTCTTTTTTTTTATATTTAGATAATACCACAAGTCAACTATGTGCTTTTTAATGTTTGTGTATTTGTTTTCCTGAAACAAACAATTTTATGCTAACCAGTTTAACATTTATGGTTATAGATATTATTTGAATTTCTTGTTTTAGCAGTTTTTATACTGTATTTTATAGTAACTTTAACAAATTTATATACAAGTCTGTTATTTGAACTCCTCTGATTTAGAATTTTATCTGCTTAGATTTCCAGGAGTTCAACTTTTTTGTGAACCAGTTACATAGTGATCAGTTTTGATGAAAGTTATTATTATGCAATGTGAATATAGAGAAACCTCACAGCAGATAAATAAAAGATTTATTAGATGAATTTTAGAGAAAGCTAAGTAAAATTTTAAGAACCTCACATTAGTTTTAAAGACATTAAATGATTTCTTCAAGTATACATGAATAAAATCAGTTAACCTATTTCGAATAAGTTTTTTCTATCTTTTAAATGGTTAAAATTGGAATCAGATTTGTCAGTGTTTGAGATATTATTATGCTACATGAAAACGATTTGGAGCCTCACAATGTTGACACAGTTTATGTTACCACATCCAGTCATACTCTATTTGATAACTGTTCATCTTGACCATAGTCCTGTAGTGTAGTATTCATTGCAAAAGGCTCCATTGAGGGCTTTCACATCCAAAGTATACCTCTCCTCCTTGCTTCTGTCATGATCTATCTAGTGTTGGAGGATGAGTTTTCTAGTATCTGCTGTAACAGTTTGGTCACAAAGAAAATCCATAATTACTATGTCTGGTGATTTGACTGGGATGTCTTTGTACAGAATGACATGAATACCCATTTCATTCTCCATCTGCTTGAGGTGTGCAACAGTTAAACAGATATATCGTGGAAACAACTTGGATATACGTCTTTTGTCACTTTTACAGATGGAAATCCCTCATGAATGTGTTGTGTACTGTTGCCTGAGGTATATGTATGGCTTTTGCCACTGCACTTTGTGTTTGAGGATTCTCATCTGTTACAAAATTTTGCACTTTTCATACCACAGCTGGGGTACAACATGTTGCAGGTTTCTTTCTGGATGGTTTTTTTGTGTCTAAGTTGACCAATATTCCTTTATTTTCCAATGCCATTAAGTACAAGGGATATACTCATCTTTGAAATTCTAAATCTCCAACCTGCACATATCATTAGGATGTGAGGGTATGAATATCTTGTTTTAGGAATGGCTGTTTTAAACACTTCCCAAAAGCAATCAATTTTTGGTGGTGTCACACTACCTATAAAATGCCAAAAAATGTCGAAATGTAGCTATGATACATAATGCTCCACGATGAATTTATATTGGTTATGGTTGTCACATGACTTGCTAATTTTCATATTCAAAATTAATTTTAATATAATGTACTCAACCTTTTGTAATAGAAATCATCAATGTAAATCCCTATAGCTTTGCCTTAATTAACCCTTTTGACATGGGCACGTGCAATTTATGGGGATAACATGGAAATTTCACTTGTGTAACAATACCTACTGTAACTTTGAGAATTCTTAACGTACCCTCATAAAAACTGGTAAGATATTTTAAAAGTAGCGTATAGCCTGTCAAAAATGATGGGATAAATACTATCACCCCCACCCCATAGTACATCCTAATCTCACATTTCATAGCTAACTGAAATAAATAAATTTTGTGAAATCAAGCTTGACTAACAAAGAGGCAGAAAAGTCAGTTGAGGTAGTCAAATGTTGGTAAATTTCTTTGTGAGCCAATCAAAATTAAGATCATTTATGAAATGAA